GTCTTGGACTCCAAGAGAGAAGATGAGACATGGAGACAGACATAAAGTCATCTCTCCAAGTCAGAGAAGATGCAGTCAAAGAGGAGTGCTCACAGTAGGAAGAGTGACAGCCTGGCCACACTTGGACTCAGGGATTTGATTCAGGGACATAAAGAGTTAAGAAAGTTTGAGAACAAAGTAGCTTGGGGGAAGATTTCAAGGATGTTATGAGCTGAGAGAAAACAGGAAATGAGAAGCTTTGTGGGCAGCTTGGGAACAGTGGCTGGCCTTCCTCCCCCATCCTTCTGCCTAGAGGAATGAAGTACAGGAAAATGTAGAAATCATGTGAAATCAGGGGGCCACACTGCACAGATGTAATTCCATGTGCATAGCTGCCCCTGCAAAGCCCTGCTGCAGACCGTGTCAGGTATGGGCTGCCTGGAGTTCTGAGAAAGGGGCCTCTGTGGTTCTGCGGCATCTCAGGAAAGATGAGGCCCAGGCCAGCCCCAAGACAAGCTGGATTATTTTTTCCCACCCCCAGATAATAGAGCAGGATGCTAATTCTAAAGAGTGTATTTGAGAAGCCACAGCACTCTAGACTCATTTCTCTATTATCTTTCCAGAGTGGTACTAACAGAACTCATAAGCTGGTGACTAAAAACAATAGAAGTTTATTCTCTGTTCCGGAGACCAGAAGTCAGAAATCAACGGGTCAGCAGGGGTGGCCCCTTCTGAAGGCTGTGGGCACAGGGCTTCTCCCTGCCTCCCTCCTGGCTCCCACTGGCTGCCAGCAACCCTTTGCTCTCCTCTGCTTGCCGATGCCACCCTCCCGTCTCCACCTGCATCGCTCTATGGCATTCTGCCTTTGTGTCTCTGGGACCAGACTTCCCTCGATGGACACTGATCGTTAGATTAGGGCCTGTCCTAAGCTAGTAGCACCTCATCTTAATTTGATTGCCTGCAAAGACCCAAGTAAGGTCACTTCCACAGGACTAATCCAGAGGATAAAGGTTCCAACATAGTTTCTGAGGACAGTTCAGCCCACAACACTCTCCGGGTAGGTAGTATTAAAATTATAGCGATCTGCAGGACACATGGCACATTGCATTAGTTCTCCAGGGGTGCCATAATGAAATGTCACACACTGAGTGCCTTAAACAGGAGAACTCATTGCCTCACAGACTCAGAGACTGTTACGTTCAAGAGCAGAGTGCGGCCAGGGCCGCTTTCTCCTCAGATCTCTCTCCCTGGCTTCCGGATGGCTGCCTCAGTGCAGTGTGCCTCGCAGGGTCTTCCCTGGAAGTGCATCTGTGTCTTAATTGCCTCTTTTATAAGGGCACCCGTCTACTCATCCTTTCAATTTAAACTATCTACCACTGTCTGTCTGTCCACCTACCTTCCTACCTATTATGCTAGAGATTGAACCCAGGGCCTTTGCACTGTTACATCCGGAGCCCCTTCTTTTATTTTTTATTATGAGACAGGGTCTCACTAAACCCTAAATTTCCCAGGCTGTATTCAATCCTCCCAGAGTGCTGGAATTACAAGTATGTGCCACCACACTCAGTTTAATTATCTCTTTAAAGATCCTATCTCAAAAAAAAAAAAATCCTACCACCAAATGCTGAGATACTGGTGACTTATGAATTTGGGAGGGACACAATTCAATCTACAACACACATAATACAAATAATGATAAAATCTACAATAATTTTTTTATGCAAATAACCAATTGATTCTCACACAATACTTCTATTGGTTTTGTGTTTGTGCCCACATATGTGCACTTTGACCAAACTCTGTTACCTATGGCCAATCTGTAGTTTCAGTTGACTGATATGTGTAATCCAGACACGGATGTTGGTATTTCTGTTCGCCTTAATGAAAACCACTAATGTGATGTAAGAAAGATGTATGTTAAAACTGCAAACATTAATACATGATGTAAGAAAGTGTTGTGGTGAATCAGATGACAGTGAATATTTGAATACTGCAGGATATTTCATCATGTTTTTTGTGGTATTAACAATGTGATGGCTATCGCTATTATACAACTTTGTTCAATTTGCATATTTCACAATGTTTCCAATTCCTTACATCTAAAGTTGACCAAAAATAAATCCCACTTGCAGCAGTTGCAAGACAGTGACTCCACTGCTGACTTCTAATTCCCACTATGCAGCTCCCAATTTTCGAGCTCAAAGGCCATGCACAACAGCGCAGCCCAATTCCCATCACATACAAGTGGTAGGTGTAAATAGCTCCAAGAGCATGATATTAGGGTTAGAGCCCAAGATCCTGCAGAAGGGCAAAATTAAAGCTCACAGGAATATTTGGCAGATTTTTTTTTCCTGTTATGTTGTCAGAGAGCAACTGGAAAAAATGGAAGACAGACAGACATGGGGCCTCATGACTAAACTTTCAATGGTAGCTGTACCGTTTAGCCCAACCTACCTGTTTGGACCGAGTCTCTAAAGACCAGTGTCTCCTGTTCTGCAATGACTCTAATTCCTATCTGCAAGCCCAAACATCTCTGTGTGCACTGCAAGGAGCCCCTTATTCCTGATTCCTCAGGTTGCTCCCTATTTTCTGCATCTGCAGCCTATGCAGCCCACAGGGGTTCCCATCTCTGTGTTTTGGATTGGGATAGCATTTTAAAACAGTAATTATATAATACTTAATATAGTAAAAAGGCATGAAGAATAATACGATCACCTATGTTCCTATCTCTCAATTTAAAGCAAAACTCCACCAATCACTTGAACTCTAGTGTATTCACAGGGGCCCCCTCCCCACACTCTCCAAAGCTAGCGTGGACTGAACTTAGAGGTTATTATTCTCAGGCTTTTTTTTTTTTCTTTTTTCCTTTAGTGCTGGGAATTGAACCCAGGGCTCTTTTACTAAGCTATATCTCCAACTCTTGTTATTTTTCTTATTTTGAGACACTGTGTCACTAAGTCACTAAATTACCCAGGGTTGAGCTCAAACATGCCATGTTCTTGCCTCAGGCTCACAGAGTACTGCTCCTCACCACACTCAGCAACCCTCAAGCATCTCTTAGCATTTGAATTACACACATTGAGCAACAGCCGGCCTTAATTCTCACTGGTTTAAATTTAGCTGCTGTATAGGATCCCCTGCAGCTTTTCTCTTCTCCATATTATAGCTCTGTGTGATCTTTCAGTATTGACACATTTCGTTGTTGCTTATTTTAGGCAAAGATCAAAAGTATAGGCACAAGAACCAAACTATGGAGGCTCAAATCCCTAACCCACTTTGGTCAAGATCTTTCTTTCACATCTCTGTGGCTGGGTTTCCTCATTTATAAAATAGATGATAAAAATTCCTCCCATCTCCTAAAAAAGGAGCTTTGGACTACAAGAATCAGCTCCTGCAGAGGGCTCAGAAAGGTGCTTCCTGGTCAAAGTACTTACTATTGAGTCTTGTTTTTCCACGCTGCTTCCCAGGAAAACCATGCTGAGACCCAGTCAAAAACACATACTGTGCTCAAAGATCTCCGGCAAAATGTCAAGGTAGCAGTGCCAACTATTTTCTGGTGTATTAGAATGAAAATCAGTTCAGACATCCACAGATAGGTGTATTTATCTATTAAAATAAATTAATCCTCTATCCATTTATATAAGTCATTCAATTCTTTCTTAAATCATGTATCTTGAGAATTTTTTTCATTTGCTAAAAAAGCAGAAGGTTTGCTGTTTTCAGGCTCCTACAGCAGGTGGGACACGGTTGGTGGGTGACTGCAGCAACTCGTAAAGCAAAAAGCGTTAGCAAGCCTGTGACTAACAAGGACAGTGTGTGCCACCCCCTCCTCACCAGAAATCCCAGCCAGCCTTCACGCCCTGAGGCTCTTGGCCAGCCTATTTGGCCTGAGTTTGAGACAATGTTCCTGTCCATATCACCCAGTGTTGTAGCAAAACATAAGCAGTTCCAAAATGGGACTTGAAGGAAATGACTGTTGAATTAATTGTATTTTTATTTTACCATGGTTTTGTTAAATATCAAGGCATCTGATCCAGTATAGAAGAACAGCAACTGCTTCAAATCATGCACTATTTTGAATTACCTTTCATTAGATCAAAACTTTTATCTTTATGGCATATATTAGGCTACTAGATGTTTTTCAATTTAAAAAAAAGTAGTTCTGTATTCTAAATGGAAATTGCTAGGTTAGTTTACCTGGTTTTGTAAATACAGTGTTTTTACATTTTTTTCCTTGTTAGTGGTTTTCACTAACAACAATATCCTTCTTCTGAAGGAAAGCTAACTTCCCTGCAGATTGGGAGGGGGTGTCCCTTTCTAATAAGAAAAGAAGTATTCCTTCAGTTGTGAGAATGACTTTGGGAAACATTAAAAAAAAATTGCAGGAGCTAGAATTGATGACACACAGCTGTCTGTAATCTCTGCACTTGGGAGGCTGAGGCAGTGGATCACCTTGAGTTCAATGTCAAGATGAACTAACATAGAACCAGTCTCGACAATCAAACAAACAAAAAATTGCAGATACCTGAAATTCATACATATCACATGCAAAATGGCTGGGCTACAATCTCTCTTCTAGTCTGAGCCAGGGCCTTACCAACACATTCCTTAGATTTTACTATTATGCATATAATGAATAAGACTTTCTCCCTAAATAACAAAGCAACTTATTATCAAAAGCAGACTAAATGGCTGGAAAAAGAAATAAACCGAGCTGTGTCATGTGACAAGGAGATGTTATCAACTTCAATAATAAGCAGCCTGCACAGTCTAAACAATGCTTAAGAGGTTAGTCTTCAGGAGACACCTCTGGCTAGACTGACCACAGAGCCTTCTACAATAAGAATCCTCTCCCTACCTCCCACTCCCAGGGCAGTCTGTACACTGAGGCTCATCTCTTCCCTAGTCAGTGTTGCAAATAGGGAATGCTTCTAGCACAAACATCAAGCTGGAGAATGCTTCTAGCACAAACATCAGGCTGTCCTGTTCACCTACCCAATGGATTAGGGAAGCCTACTTACTTCTCAAGGCGTATTCTTTGGGCTTCACTGAATTCAGATCAGAAAGGAATTCATTAGTATCTTGCATGCACTTGAGAGAAATGTTTCTTGCAAGAAGAACAAAAGGTAATTGAAAAGCGAGCAGGCAAGAGAGTAGAGCGGAGACCACCATTATCTCTCAACCCGTCAGGATGAGCCTCCCTCCTCAGACAAAGAACCTTCTATTTATGAGCCACTTGTCTCTAACGTGCTGGGGTAAATGTGACATTGCTCGCTCCTTAACAAGCAGAGAGACAGACCATGTTTCCTCAGCCACCTGCAAAGCGACAGAGATGAACAAACCATGGAAATCAATTTATATACAACTCGCTATTGTTGAGTAAAATGGTGCTGTGGATGTAGGGGCTGCCGACCACCTGGCTTGCTTTAGTGATGCAGATTAACATCTCCAGCTAACATGGTAAGACTTGATTTTCTCTGGTTGGATAGCCTGGTTGGTCTATATCTCTGGGTTTTAAAAAAAATATGCCAGTGATGTAAAGTGGCAATATTAATTTTCGCTCAAGAGTGGTGACAAATTCAACCTATAAAATGCTTAGATGGGTAATAAGCCAGTGGGTTATATATCTCAGTGGATTTGTTGGACTTTGGAAACAGTGTTGGTGCCACAGGAAGGGGTGATTGCAGGAGGAAAAAACGCACGTGCCTTCTCATGTGGGTTTAGAACACACACCCTGGGAGGAAATGACACCAACAAAAGGCCACAACCATGTGGTTCACTTAGTCTAAGAAGCCATAAATACATCCATCTGGATATCTCACAGTGCATAACATTATCGTCCCCAAAAGGCTTTCTTTAACTAGAAGCCTTTAGAACCTTTTCTACGGGAACCTACAAATTCAGTGGGTCACCGATCCTCCTGAGCAGGGAGATAGCTGGACGCCAGAGGACAGGAATCAACAAATACACCAAAGGAGGATGGCCAAAGAGGAAAAAGTCTCCCCTACTTTCACAGAAAGCAACATGGTCAAGCAAGACTGTGACCCATCCTGGTGGCTGACATGGGCAGATGAGCCGAGAGGTCTGTCTGTACATGATTCTAAAAGTAATGCCTTGAAGAGACTTAACTGACCTTGATAGACAGCAAGAGGCTAACTTTGATTAACACAAGTCTCACTTTAACTTGGTCTTAAACATCCAACAGAAAAGTATAACCAAAAGATGTATGAAAACAATAACTTAGGAATAAGGGTAGATGTAAAAAGGGGGTCCAATCATTGACCCCTTCTGGCAGTTTCCAACTACACCAGTAGCTGACATTGTAATTAAGGAATAACTCAATGGAATCTAGAAACTCCAACGAGAGTTTTTAAATTCCTTAGCTGAAATTGTTAAAGCCATCTTCTTACAGCTAAACAAGAAGGACTCACAAATAACCTTAGACCCCTTAGTAGAGGTCTCAGTAGGGGTGTCTACTAAGGGGTCTAAGAGCCAACTAGTTACAATCGCTATTCCAGTCCCTTAAGCCCAGTTTTTGGACATGGCTTTTTCCCTAACCTGCTTTTCCATTCTAGTTAGCACTCATATTTTGATTATACATGCTTTAATTTCTTGGAAAATTTGTTTATTCTTGCCTAGAGACTGACAAATTTCCAAGTGACCATGCAGATGGAACCAATGGCAAAGGTTAGATTTCTTTTCCTAAAATTCCCTAGACTAACCTTAGACAGGGAGTTCATAACTACTAAACCACAACATGACTTTTAGCTAAGGCCCATGAGATGAGCTTTCTGGAGAAGGCCCCTGTCTATGGTTTCCCCTACACTGACCCTTCTCAGCTCAAGTTATTTAGATGGAAACTGGGCCCCTTCTCCCCTAACTGCAGTTAGGGAGACCTCTTCAGAGGAGGGAATATTACAGACTGCTAAATTAGGAGGGAATGTTACAGATTGCTAAAGTAGGTGGAAATACTATAGGCAGTCAGACAGTGCTGGACCCTTAAGGAAGTCAGAACAGAAGAAAGGAACACATGGACTGTGGCTGGAGGTACATCTAAAGATTAAAATCATAACAGCCAGACTTGTATACTTCTGTAAGGGATAAATGGAAGCTTGAGATTATTGGCATCACCCCTTTGATTTCCCATTATCTCAGGAGAGGTGGACCACCCTCTCCCACTCACTAAGATTGACTAAGACCAATAAGAGTGAAACCACTAAGACTAAAACTATACTAAGACTAAGACTTCAGACAAGACTGCAGATTATCAACCAAGGTTAATGATGTCATCTGTATGGCCTTGCTACTATTGGGTCAATATCACCTAAGCGACTATACTTGTAATCTTATTGGTTGATCATAATTTTGACCCTCATTGTACCCACCTTGTGATTTTGCTCTATAAAACTTCCTTTAGGAAGTGAGCTCACTGGTAACCCATGGAGGACCCCTCCTGTCTCTCAGGTACTATTCCTCTTCCCCATCCTTTTTCTCCAATAATTTTCCTACTCTTATGCTCAAAAATAAATAAACAGTAACCTTGATAGTTCCATTTAACATGTGATGCAATGTCTGTGGATCTTGTTTACACTGCCGGACTGGGTCTGCACTTGTGGGCGGTATGACTCTGCTCCACTTCCTGTGGGCAGCCAAGCAGCTCCAGACTGCTGCCTCGTCCCAGCCTGCACTCTTCTGTCAGCTTAGTTTTTTTTTTGTTCATGCCTGGCCCTTGTCTCCAACTCCGTCCTCTGGGACTGTATCTATTTACCCTGATTTATTTTTCTGAATAGGTGCTGGCTCTTCAATGATACCCTCCCCCAGGCTTCGCTGGAGGTGAGACAAGGCCATGAGACCTGCTTATCCTGTCTCCCTGCTCCTTCTAAATCCCACATGGAAGACATGTACCTCTGCCTGCATCTTCTCTTACACGTGGGGAGCTCCAGCGGGGAACCACCATGCTCTTCAAATTTTCATGGGCTTTTTTCAGAGGCAGGTAATGTCATGGCTGAGAGCCAAAGTTAGGTAAACACCTGTAATTCCAGCTACCTGGTAGACTAGACTAGACTAGGATCGAGTTCAAGGCCAGTCTGGGCAACTCTGCGAGACCATGTTTCAAAATAAAAAGGGATCTAGGTGCTATGGCACGTATTTGTAATCCCAACACTCTAGGAGGCCAAGGCAGGAGGATCACAAATTCCACCCATCCTGAGCAAGTTAGTGACTTAGCGAGACTGCTACAAAAATTTTTTTAAATAAAGGAGAGGGGAGGTTGTACCTTACTGTAAAGGCCTTGGGTTCAGTCCTGACAACAGCAATAAATACATGAATAAATACAGCCAGAGATGTAACTCAGTAGTACAGCACCCAATGTGTCAAAATCAAAATGAGCTGGGGATTTAGCTCAGTGCTTGCCTGGTAAGGGGGAGGTCATCAGCTCGATTCACAGTTACTCCCCCAAAATCAAAACAAAAAACCAAAGCTATCACTAATGAGTGACCTAGGCCTGCCTCACTGACCTCATCTGGAAAACAAGGATAATCGTGGTCTCTATCTTTTGGGAATTGTGATATTTAAATAATGTATTCAAAATAGTAAAAGAATAGTTGACTTGCTATAAATATTTAAAATACTTTAGCTAGTATATTTATATTCTAAAATGCCTATGACCACCTGGAGATGTTAGTATATATTTATATTAGACATCCAGATAATATGCCTAAGGGAAACTTTGCAGCCTGTGACCTACAGGGAAGATTTAATGAATAATAGCTATTGTGGCAATTTGTTAAGATGTGTTGTTGGCCCAAAGGAGAGAAAGATAGCCCTGGGGTTCACAGGCTGAACTAATTCAGGTATTAATTAAATGAACTGAAAAAAAGATCCATGGATCCCAAATGATAAAGGGGATAGTTTCAAAAACATATTAGTCTCTAGTCAGAATCATCCAAGATGAGTGGGGTTCTTTCAAGTGGAATAGAGGCCCCACCTTGGAGGTATGTGGCCACTGGCTGAACCCTGAGCAAGATGTCAGAGACCAGAGTGGAGCACCAGTGGTTCTGGTGTAAAGGAGGTCTCCTGTGTCTGGAACCTCTGCGTCCACCTGCAGGACAGTCTCCTGCCATTATTACCTGCAGTGCCTTAACACACTTCTGAAGATGGTGTCAAAGGAGAGAGAGCTTGAAATTCCAGTGTCAAAAGGAACATCCAACTGGAATTGTATTTGTGGTAAAGAGAGAAATTAGTTTGGCGTCAGAAACAGGATTTCTATCCTGGCTCTGTTGGAAGCTGGCTGCATATCACCATCTGTAAAATCATGAAGGCAGCTCACCTCACACAGGTGCTTCTTAGGAGTGTGTTAGCGCTCATGACACAGGAACAGTCTATAGATTCTTGGGTCATAAACATCTGGTAGTGTCTCAAAGCTAGTATTTCCTGTGTTTCACTACCTTCCTACCTTTTGGAAAGTAAGAAGGCAGGAGACTGAAATACTAGAGGTTTAGGTTATTTGAATGTGTATAAATCATTAAACAGAAAAAGTCTCTGAAAGCTGTATTTATTCACATGACTGTTGCTGACATTTGTATAGTCATCAAAAATAAAAATGATATTGCTTTTAGAATTCAGTGGAAAATATTCCTTTTCTTTGTCAAATGGGATGAAAAGCATAATGAGCAGATCCTATACCCATATTTTAATTATTCATTGAAACTGTGTACAAGAGCCAGGGATATAGCCCAGGCGCACAGTGCCTGCCTGGCAAGCACAAGGTCCTGAGTTCCATACCCAGGACCAAAAAATACCAAAACAAATAAATAAACAAACAATAATAAAACACAAACACAATCATTTTAAAACACCACCTAAATGAAAAGGAAAAAGAAAATCTTATTTTTGAGTAATTAGACCCTTCTAATGTGTGTCCCAACCACTAAGAAATAAGATTATGACTAGTTAATGTTTGAGAAAACTTAGTAATTTTACAAAAATATTTGAGGCACCTGCTTTATGCAAGCCAGTGTCCGGGGCCTAATAACAGGACAGGAAAATAAATAATGCCTTCCTTTCCTGAAAGTAGACCTTTATCATTTCCAGCAGCAATCGGCTGGCCGATGCTATTTGAATGCCACAGTCATTTTAAACCGTAAAAAAGGAAAGGGCATTAGGCCTCTATCATTTAGCAATGAGTTTGAGAAAACAGGAATCTGTCTTTGCTGACAGGAATAAGGACCGGCTGAATGGAAGATATGTAATACCCAGTGCTCTCAGGCTGCAAGATGAAAAATGCCTCTCACAGTGAGAGGAAGGCAACTACAAATTAGGAAGCAAGCAGAGCCCATGGAGATGCTTAAAACATTCATCCAGAGGGTGGCAGACAGTCAGCAAACAGGCACAGAATGCCGGGCAGAGGAAGTGTTCGGAAGAAAAATAACACAGTGTAAGGGGCAGAGAGGGGAAGCAGCTGTGTGCTGTTGGCTGGGCGGCACGTCAGCAGGGAGCCAGGAAAGGCTTTCTGAGTCAGGAGACTTCTGAGTGGCATGAAGTGA